CCGCTTTCGGAGTCACTGGCACAGCCTTTGCAGGTAGAGGCCTATTGTTTGACGCTCTCTCAAGTCAGTTTTACTTTATGATGACTTCATTTGGATCATAGCCCAGAAGCTGACTTTTATTACCTTTGATCTCACCCGTGGTTGTCAGCAGTTTTTAAACCAATACAGTCCACATTCCCTTGTTCCGCATCTCCACACGTTGTCATAGGAGAACAATATTCCATCTGCATCTGTATTTTTCAGCCATAGTGCAGATTGGTGAATTATCTGCAGTCACTGCTGTAGATTGTTAGACTTCTGTAGGCATATTTAATTTGGATTTGAAATATTTAACAAACAGAATAAATGTTTTAGAGTTTTTCATTGTTTGTCACACATCTGCATGAAGAATTCATATTTAGTTCTTTATAATCTGAATTTTAATGCATCTTCTCTGTAATAGCAGCCTTAGTGCCCAAATGTCTACTTAATAAATATTTATTGAGCACCTTCTGTATGCCAAGCACCATGCCAGACACTGTGAGTAGCTTCCTCACATACATCAAAGCACCTGCCACTGGGGACGCAGAAAGGATTAGTATCCCAGATTAGGAATACTTTCCGATAAAGGGAATGGAATGGCAGCCTTGCTGCTGACTGGCTAGGAATGTGCTTGCCATATTAGTAGATTCTCAAAAATGTTTATCTTCCTCTTCAGCATTCCATTCAAGAAGCAGCCTAGTACAGAGCTTCATAGCCAGCTCCTTCCTGCTGATGTCTTCTGACCAGGAGGGATGATGAAATGGAGGCCATCCAGGCAGAGGTGCGGAGTTCCAGGTTCCTGCAGACCTCTTGCAGCCCTGCATTAGCCACAAAACATGAGCACAGGGCACGCATGCCTACACTTTGCTTCTCACGTCCCTGTGTCCTAGTGGCCAAAGCAGTGTCAGACTTGACTGCATAGCACTCTCAAGAATGTGTTCACAGCCAAACTCTGAGGCCTCTGCAATAAGTTTTTAAAAATAGCTTTATTGAGTTATCATTCATATAGCATACAATTCACCCATTTAAATTCAACAGCTTTAGTATAGTCACAGATTTGTGGAGCTCTCACCTCAGTTGCAGAACATTTTCCACACCTCAAACACAGCACACCCCTTAGCTAGGACCCCCAGCACCCCACCTCCCCCCCCCCCCAGCCGCCCCTGCAATCCCCAGGTCCTAAGCAACCACTAATCTACTTTTTTGTTTCTATAGATTTGCCCATCCTGGACATTTCATACAAATGAAATCATTTAATATGTGATCCTCTGTGGCTTGGTTTCTTTATTTAGCATAATATTTCAAGCTTCATTCACACCGTAGCATGGATCAATACTTCATCCCTTTTATGCCTGAATAATATTCTGCTGTATGGATATGCCATGTTTTGTTTATCTATTCATCAGCTGATAGTTATTTGGGTTGTTTCCACATTTGGCTCTTATGAATAGTGCTTCTGTAAACATTCATGTATAAGTTTTTGTGTGGAAATTTCATTTCTCTTGGAAATACATATACCTAGGAGTAGAATTGCTGGGTCATATGGTGAACTTATTTTTAACCATTTGAGAAAGAGCCAGGATGTTTCCAAAGAGGTTTTACCATTTTACATTCCCACCAGCAGTGTGTGAGGGTCCCAGTTTTCTCTGTGTGTGTGTGCTGTTGTGTCTGACTCTTTGCAACCCCATGGACTTCAGCATGCCAGGCTCTTCTGCCCTCCACTATCTTCTGGAGTTTCCTCAGATTCATGTCCATTGAGTCAGTGATGCTATCTAACCGTCTCATCCTCTGCCAGCCCCCTACTCCTTTTGCCTTCAATCTTTCTCAGCATCAGGGTCTTTTCTAATGAGTCAGCTCTTCACATCTGGTGGCCAAAGTAGTGGAATTTCAGCATCAGTCCTTCCAATGAGTATTTAGGGTTGATTTCCTTTAGGATTGACTAGTTGGATCTCCTTGCAGTAAAAGGGACTCTCAAGAGTCTTCTCCAGCACCACAATTCAAAAGCATCAATTCTTCAGCACTCAGCTTTCTTTATGGTCCATCTCTCACATCTGTACATGACTACTGGAAAAACCATAGTTTAAAGTACAATTGATGTTTACATATTTTGTATCCTGTAACTTTGCTGAATTTGTCTCTTAATTTCAATAGTGTTTTATTGGATTCCTTAGAATTTTCTACATAAAAGATAGTTTTAATTTTTCCTTCCCAAATTAGATGCCTTTTCTTTTCCTTACCTATTTGCCCTGGCTGGAACCTCTAACTCAGTGTTTAATAGAAGTAGCAAGAATAGAGACATCTTTGTGTTGTTCCTGATTTTAGGATAAAAAGTGTCCCGTCTCTCACCATTAACTATAATGTTAAGTGTAGGGTTTTTTGAGGACTGCCCTTTTTTCACTTGAAGGAAGTTCCCTTTCTTTCCTAGTGTGTTGAGTGTTTTTCTCATGAAAAAATGTTGGATTTTGTCAAATGCTTTTTCTGCATCTATTGAGATAATCGTATGATCTTTGGTTTTCATTCTATCGGTGTTGTATATTACATTAATGGACATCGTCATGTATTACAGTAATGGATGATGTCTTGTATTACATTAATTGATTTTCAGATGTTAAACCAACCCTGCATCCCTGAAACAAATCCTACTTCATCATGATGTATAAGTTATTCTGTATGTTATGGATTTGTTTTGCTAGAATATTGTTGAGAATTTTTGTATCCATATTAATAAGACATTGATCTCTAGTTTTCCTGTGGTGTCTTTGTCTAGTTTTGGTATCAGGGTATTGGTGTTCTCATAGAATGAGTTGGGAAATATTCCCTCCTTATATTAGTCTGCCCAGCTTCCATAATAGAAACCTCATACTCGGTAGCTTTAACTTTATTTTCTCATGGTTCTGGATGTTAGAAGTCTGAGATCCAGGTGTCATCAGGGTTAGTTTCTAGTGATACCACTCTTCCTGGCTAGTGGGCAGCCACTTTCTCTATGTCCTCACATTGCCTCTTTGTGCATGTATATGAAGAGGGAGACACACTCATGTCTCTTCCTCTTATCAGTACTTTCTTTTTAATCAGTCCTATTGGGTTGACGTCCTACCCTTAAGACCTTAATTAACCTCAGTTATCTCACTATGGCCCCTCTCTCCAAGTATAGTTGCCCTGGGGCGCTAGAGCTTCAACATATGAACATTTGAGGGAGACACAACTCAGCTCATAGCACTCCATTTTTATTTTTTGGAAGACTTTGTGAAGAACTGGTTTTAATTTTTCTTTAAATGGTTTGTAGAATTAATTTTTGAAGCCATTTAAGTCTGGGATTTCTTTGTTTTTTGATTACTATTTTATCTCTTCACTTGCTTTAGGTCAATTCAGATGGTCTCTTTCTGTCCGTTTGTCCATTTCTTCTAATTTACCTAGTTTATTGGCAATAATTGTTTGTAATATTTTTTAATAATCCATTTTATTTCTTTGAGATTGGTGTTAATGTCATCTCTTTCATTTCTGAATCTAGTAATTTGAGTCTTCTCTCTTTTTTTTTTTCTTGGCCAACCTAGCTAAAAAAGTTTGTCAATTTTGTTGATCTTTTCAAAGAGCCAGGCTTTGGTTTCATTGATTGTCTCTATTTTTCTGTCCTCTATTTAATTAATTTCTGCTTCAGTCTTTATTATTTTCTTCCTTGTGCTTGCTTTAGGTTTGGTTTGTCCTCTTCTACCCCAGTATTTTATTGAGGAAGATTAGGTTATTTAAGATTTTTCTTTATAAATATAAATATTAACAGATATAAATTTGCTCTAGACACTGCACTGCTTTAGCTGTATTCCATATGCAATGGTTTTTATATCTAGGCAAACTCCATATGCATCCCCATATGTGAGAAGACCTGCTAGTTGTCCTAATTAAATCAAGTATTTATCTTTTAATACCTATATTGTGGGAGTAATCCATACTAGTTTACTGAAGAAGACATCTGGATCTCGTGGCCCCAGATGTGCTTACTTATTGCCAACCGTGGGGGATCCATTGGTTTTTCTTATTCTAGTCACTTTGGGGATGTCCATATCTGTTTTTATCATGTGTAGTATTTGGATGGTTATTGATGGGGTTACAGATATGATCTTGTCTAGGGTCAAGAAGAAAAGGAATTGCTAGAATATTTTCTTCCTCTTTCTATCCCTGTAATTCCTCTAGGTCTTGTCTTTCCACACAAAACAAAACACCCAAACCATTTAAATAGCTCACAGACAGAGTTCAACAGGCTGTAAGAATGAGCTTTAAACGTGTAGAAAGTCCTTATCTACTTGGGTGAGGGAGCTGAGGAGGAAGTTGGCGGGCTCTTCAGGCCCTCTACTCTCTCTGTACTTCAGACGGGCTCTTTCTCTCTTATCTGCAGGATTTGGGGAGGACCATGGGGCCATCCAGATCATCATTTATGTCCCTAGTTTGTTCACCTTGGTGGGAGATTAGTGCCCTCATGGGTACTGGGACTGAAGGTGTGGGGAGGAAGCACCGAACGTAGGCCAAAGTTGTTTCTCCTGATTCTGGGACACCGTGACTCTGGCTTGATCTCTCCCAGGAATCTTGGGCCAGATGAGGAAGGCAGTGGTTATGGGTGAGAGAAGAGGGAGCTGGGAGATTCCAACAAGCTGGCAGAGACTCCTGGAGGAGCAGAGCCATAGAGGGAGAAAGACTTTTGTTTGAATTTTATTTACATATCATCAATAACCAAGATGATCCCATTTTCCTTGGGACATGAAGGGTCGCATGTCCTAATCCCTGCTAAAGTCTGCTTTGTTGGTGAGCAGGTGTCATTCTGCTGAGAGCTGAGCTACTGGGGTGTATGCCTCGGGGTCCATTCCTTCTCCTCTGTCGTCCCCACACACATGGCACCCGTGCTGCTGGGGAAAGATTTTCCAAGACCCAGAGCCTGGTGGCCTCTTGACTGCTCTCTAACCTCTGCTTCTCTGCTCTGCCTTCTTGCCTAGCAAAAACAGTCAGCACCGAGGAGTGCCTGGTGAGCCCTGCGAGCATGAACCGCTACGGCCTGGACCCCTCCTCCCCCACCTTTAGCCACAGGAGCTCCCTGCCCACCTCCTCTTCGCTGTACTGCAAGCGGCAGAACTCTGGAGACGGCCACCTTGGGGGCGGCTCAGCCACCACAGTCGGTGGTCCCCGCACCAGCCCCATGTCCTCCGGAGGCCCCTCGGCACCTGGGCTGCGGCCTCCTGGCTCCAGCCCCAAGAGGAACGGGACCTCTCTTGAAGGAAACAGATGTGGTAATGTAACGCGTGGGCTGGCTTCCCCATGACCTGACCTCCTCTGCCCTTGCCCTGAGACCACCGAGTATAGAGAGACTGAGGACTGTGGCTGTTGAATGTGGGAACACAGGGAAATTAGATGTTTCCACAAACCCCTTTGTGGATTTTTGTTGCTCTTGAAGGCAGCTGACTTCAACCTTTGACCCCAAGCAAAGACAATGGTGTATGAGAGTAGTCTAAACTGTAGGAATAAGTAGAATCCAAAATGTACAGTGGCTCAGCTACAATGGAAGTTTCTCTAGTTGGTGAGTGTATCACAATTCAGAGACCCAGGACCATCCGTTCTGAGGCTCCACTGTCCCCTGTGGCCTCCATGCCCTGTGCATCTAGCAGGTGGATTGGGTCGGTAACTAGCAGTTTTCGGCCACTGCTGATTAGAAACGTTCCTTCCTGCTGCCTCTTTCCTCTTGTGGCGCTTTGCCTCCTCATCTCTCGTACTTCCTCCCTTCCATCTCACAGCAGGAGCCAAGCTCTCAGCTTCATGAGGTCTTCCACTCCAATTTGAATCCTCTGCAACCCCAGAAAAGCAGCCTGTCTGAGGCATAGCCTAAAGAGCTATGTGTGAGCACCTACTATGGGACAGAAACTCTCCACACATTACTTATGACTTTTATGAGCTATAAATGAGCCACCGGGGAAGCCCTATTATTATATCAGGTGTATATTATTATTGTAGCATTATTAGATGATTCAATTTACAGATAAAGCATGTGAAGATCAACAGAAGGTCAGTCAAGCATTGAGCCAGGACTTGACTTCAGCTGGCTCCAAAGCTGGCTTTCAAAACTATGCCTTGGATTTTCACATGCTCAGTGGGCTTCAGTGGGTCCCTCTGAGGTTCTAGCGGAAGGCTGGAGGGGATGGGAGCAGACAGGACTCCAACACCACCCTCTTTAACCAGGGCCTCTTCACGTTTGCGAAGTGGGGTTCTTCATTTGTGTAGCTTGAATAGCGCTTGTGCAGCTAAACACATGTGGAAACCATAGAGATAAACCCTGCTAAACTGAATGGCAGTAGATTAAAATAGGAGAGGAAACTCCTGGCCTCCTTACCCATCTGTCACCTAGCAGCCAGCTCAGGTGCCGCCGCAGACCCTCTGGAGGGCTATTAAGTTTTCCCTCTGCCCAAAGAAGTGCTTGGTATTGCTCTGAAATTGCATCCCAAGTGAAAGCAGTCGGTGTTAAGAAATCATATTTCTTTATTAGGGTTTGACCCAAGTCATAAAACTGGAAGGGACCTAGAAATGGATTTTCCTCCATGGTGCTAACCTTAGTGGTTTAAGCCTGCAGAAATCAGAAACTGGTATGAGACTGTGTGAGAAGGTAGGTATCAATGATGTGACAGACTTCTCAGTCCTTTCCCTCACGTGAATACTTACCCTGGACTACTACTGTCTTGATATATATTGTCTCTGCCCATGGACTCAAGGGATGTATTCACAGGACATATTTTCCTGTTTTTTGCTGATACTCAGGTGAAAATCTGAGAGTTCACCTCTGTCTCTCATCCAAGATATAATCACTAAGAACTAGTAATATAAAGAGGTTTTGGAAAACAGGAGATGCTGTAGAATTCCCAACTGCAAGTGCGTCTAAGCTTCAGAATTGAAGTGACTTCAACATTGTTCTTACCTTACAATTTACATGCTTTCCATGGGTTCAAGTTTGATCTATAGGGTATGGCCTTGGGTGGTGCATAGGGAATGATTCAGCCAGAAAAAGAAGAATGGGAATGGCACTCTCTGTGGGGCAGGGGGTAAAGTGAATGAAGGTATAGTAGAGCTTATTCATTCCGAGGGATGAGAAGAGTTTGTGCAGGGACACGGACGGAATTCATGCTGGGAAATTTGGGGTTCAAATCAAGCAGATTGGGCTTTCTTTACTCTGTGGAAATCAGACGTTTCTGAACAGGGACATGAGATGGTGGCCACAGAACTCAGGAATATGAATCTACTGGCCACTATGGAATGACGTATAACAATAAGACTAGCAGCTACCTTTGATTAATTCTTCCTGCTTAATGCTTCACATTATCCCATTTAATCCTCACAGTGTGGTAGGTATTTGACTGTGGAGGCAACTAAGACTCAGAGGGATTTTGGTCAATCCTGGCCAGCACGCACTCATGGGGCACAATATGCTTGTCTAAGGCCTGAGGGTGGAGCTGTGAGCCAGACAGACATGGGCCCTGTTCTCGGACCGTCTCCAATTGCAGAGAGACAGACGGTTAGCAAACAAAACCGAGGGGCCCCTTTTGGAAGCCGATGGGCTTCCCTTCAGGATGTTTGTCGTCAGGCTCCAGCCCAAAGCCACAGAATCACATGATTCTTACCATACTCTCGGGAAACAGGATGGAGAACCTGAAGCCCACAAAGAATAAGATGATCAGGTCCAGGAAAGGGTTGGAAACCTGGCCACTGACTCTCATTCACTGCGCTTTGCACACAGACATGCTGATAAGGCTTCAGAGGTGCCAGAAGGTAGGGCCTTCGTGTTGCCCAGGACAGGCTGTGGTTTGAGGGGACCTTGGCGATCCTTCCCAACTCCTCATTTCCCAGCAGAGAAGCACAGAGACACTCGCACAGTGGTGGGTGGAGGGGCCTCTGACTCCTGGCTCATTGATCCTTCTCTTCTTTCACTGGACTCTGTCATGAGCTAAAAAGTGTCCTCTGGATTAAGAGTGAGCAAAAGGAAATTATGCGTGTGCTTGTGGGCTTGTGTGAGACAAAGCGTCACACAGGCAGCCACAGGCGGACCGGGCCGTGAAGGTGTCCGGGATTACTTTAGATGGATTCATAGTCATTCCATTCCTGGTAGGTGTGAATTCAGCATTAGAAAGAGCCACCACCATCTTCCTACATCCATTCACAGCTGGGTTTCACTCACACATGTCTCCAGCAGCACCCAGGGGACAGACCCGACCGCGCACCAAATTCTCCAAGTAGAGAATGCCCCCCTTTCACAAAGGCAATCGGCGAGTGCTTTGCACACTCTGTTCTTTTAGGAACAAGAATTTTTTCGCATCCATCATGTCTGACCACTGTGCAGTCACATCTGCCTAGCTTGGCTATGTCAGCCCAGACCCATGTGTCTTCCTGACAGCCTGACAGCAGCTGGAGGGACTGTGTGGTTATTATCTTTGTGTGGGCATGGCAGAGGCTGGAAAGCTCCCTCTCTCCCTCCTAGAGCTAGTTCGCTTTGGATCCCGAGCTGGTTTCTAGGTATGACAGCTTCCTGCTACTCTCTGTCCTGCGTGACTCTAAGGCCCCTCAGAGAGGAAACACGAAAATGCCCACAGCTAGGACCAGGTGCCAGGAGCAGAGCCACTTTCCCTCCACACTCATTGCCTGGAGAGCCTCACCCTAAAGACGAGCCAGACCCCTTGCTCAAGCCCATGGCTGTGGCTCACGGAGAGAGCCTTTCCCTGGCCTTGCTCAGAGGACCTTAGGCTCCCATGGATGGTGTTGTGAGTCGGTCTGGTGTTTTCCCTTCCTGTCAAACATGGGAAATTAGATTTGACCTCTGCTCTGATCACTCTAAAAATCATTCTTGGCACTGAAGGCTTCCCGCCTTTGTAATCAGAGCATCTATTATCACCCTGATTACTGCCGACACTCCGATGGGGCAGGCTCCAAAGGCAAATGCGATTTCCGTGGTTCCTCCTCCCCTTGTTGAGTGCAGATGTCCTTAAATGCAATGAAATCATCTCTAATAAGCATGCATCCGCATTCAGATAGCCCTGGGGTGCATTAACAGTTTCCTGGCAAAATGCAACCCCCACCTTATGCCAGATTACCTAGGGGGACCCTTTCAGGTCTAACAAGGAAAAGGCAGGGAAAATCTCAAAAGAAAATCCAATTCTCAACCAAACCATTTTATTGAGGATAGACACGGAAATGTGATAATGTACTTTTCTCAGCACCAATGCAGAGCTGTGCCCTTCTCAAGCACATTGAAAAGAGGAGGAAAAAAGAGACAGCAGAAAACTGCTGCACCCTGAGATTAAAGAAAATAAATGGAAAAGAAGTCTTCTCAACTACGAACTTAGAATTACTCTGTAGGGAAGCTGCTTCATTGTTCAGAGCCTGAAAATAAGATTAAGGATTACACACACAAAGCTTTTGTGTAAATTACTAATACTGTTTTTGTGAAGTATATTGATTTGTTTTATATTCATTGAACCCATGTTACAAATATATTTGCTTGGAGCCATGGAGGAGTCAACGATTATAAACCCTGTAATGAGAGGATTCTGGGCTTCCCAGGTGGCACTAGTGGTAAAGAACCTGCCTGCCAATGCAGGAGACGTAAGAGACATGGATTTGATCCCTGGGTTGAGAAGATCCTCTGGAGGAGGGCATGGCAGCCCACTCTACTATTCTTGCCTGGAGAATCCTGTGGACGGAGGAGTTTGGCTGGCTACCATCCATGGGGTTGTAAAGAGTCGGACACGACTGAAGTGACTCAGCATGCATGCACACTATGAGAGGATTACATTTTTTACCAAACTCTTAGCCTAGGACCTGGTACAGAAGAGATGCTCATTAGGTGTCTATGGATGACTAGGGGGAAGATGAAAAAGATCATCCTCAAGAATTTAAAAGATAACTGGAGGTTACAGGCAAGCACATGCATAATGGTAATACTAAGCAGAATGTGGAGAGCATCTTTAAGAGAAGAATAAACAAAGATTTGGGGGTTAAAGTAGAGGAAGGTGACATCCAGATGGCAGGACATGGAAACGCTGCCTGTGAAGGGGTCTATCTGGACTTTGATGGCTAGTAGAACTTCTTTGGAAAGGAGGGAGGATAAACACCTTAAGAAGAGGTGGCAAGAATACACAGAAGAACTATACAAAAAAGATCTTCATGACCCAGACAACCATGATGGTGTGATCACTCATCTAGAGCCAGACATCCTGGAATGCGAAGTCAAGTGGCCCTTAGAAAGCATTACTACAAACAAAGCTAGTGGAGTTGATGGAATTCTAGCTGAGTTATTTCAAATCCTAAAAGATGATGCTGTTAAAGTGCTATACTCAATATGCCAGCAAATTTGGAAAACTCAACAGTAGCCACAGGACTTGGAAAGGTCAGTTTTCTTTCCAATCTCAAAGAAGGGCAATGCCAAAAATGTTCAAACTACTGCACAATTTTGCAGTCATCTCACATGCTAGCAAGCTTGTGCTCAATATCCTTCAAGCTAGGCTTCAACAGTACGTGAACCAAGAATTTCCTGATGTACAAGCTGGATTTCAAAAAGGCAGAGATCAAATTGCCAACATCTATTGGATCATAGAAAAAGCAAGATAATTTCAGAAAAACATCTGATTCATTGACTAAACTAAAGCCTTTGACTGTGTGGATCACAGCAAACTGTGGAGAATTCTTAAAAAGATGGGAATATCAGACCACCTTACCTGCCTCCTGAGAAACCTGTATGCAGGTCAAGAAGTAGCAGTTAGAAACGGACATGTAACAACAAACTGGTTCAAAATTGGGAAACGACTACGTCAAGGCTGTTTATTGTCACCCTGCTTATTTAACTTATATGCAGAGTACATCATGAGAAATGCCAAGCTGGATGAATCCCATGCTGTAATTAGCAGGGATGGAAGAGAGGAGATCCTTGTGAGAGGCATCCTTCTAAGAGCTTCAGAATAATTAAATTCGAGGAGCAAATAAAGGACAGGAGAGATCACTGAGGTTTCAGAAGCATGAAGAGGAGATGCTGCTTCTAGGGAAAGAGGATGGATTAGTTTGGGACATACCAAAAAAAAAAACCCCCCCCCCCAATATTGCCTAAATACTGACTCCCTATTCTCTTCCTCCTTCACTGATCCTGCACCTTTTAATCTGCCCTGGGGGAAAAGCATTTATGCCACAATGCAACTCATGTCCCTGACCAGCGTGGACCAGGCACAGGACCAGGCTCCTGTTGTCCAGGAACCCCGTCTAGTGGGGAGGTTGGAGTGAGTGCTTCGGCAGAACCGAGGGCTGGGGAGGTGCTCAGTGTGGGCGCAGGGTATGGACCTCTCACAGACAGGGCTTCCAAGACCATGCCAGTAGAGACCCAGGACAAGCACTGAAATGCACCCTCCATCCTACCATGTCATCTCAGGGTGATGCCAGTGAAGTCACAAAGGACCTGATGTCATTTCGGCATCACAGCACTCCAGAAGCCTATCATAGGGAGCATTCTCTAGCCACCAAGTCCTGGGTCACAGGAGGCTTGGGGGCCACAGAGACAGAAGTGATCAGGAGGGCTCTTTGAAGTCTAACATGGGTCAGCGTTTCCACTGCTGGAGGAGATCCCTCTTCCAGTGCTGTCCTCTGTATAGATGTGGAGGTGGGGGCTGCCTCTGGGGGCCTCACTCTGTCACAGGAGATCACTCAGGCCACCTTGGACTCAAGGGCCAGGCGAGGGGGCAGGCGGCAGCAGGTAGGCATCGAGCCCAAAGGCCGCAGTCTCACGGCCTCTCTCTCTGTGCTCTCCCCTCCAGCCTCAAACCTTCCTCCGGACAGGCAGGATGCCCGGCAGCCGAGGAGCAGGAACCCTTCCAGCTGGTCGGTGGAGGATGTGGTCTGGTTCCTGAAGGAGGCAGACCCGCAGGCCCTGGGGCCCCATGTGGAGCTCTTCCGGAAGCATGTATGCACCGTGGGGGCCTTGGGGTGGGGTCCGGGAGCTGTGGGGTGGGGAGCGTCTGCACTACACCCTGGGGGTGCCCCTCAAGGGAGGCCAGAGGGGACCACAGATTTCTCAGTGCAGAACAGCCAGGTCTTACTCTGAAGGCACGTCTGTCCCATCTGTTCCCTCACTTGGCCTTTATCAGGAGTCCTGTTTTCTCGGCCGTCTATTTGTCTATGCATTCAGCAAACACTGGGAACACACCGACAACGTGCCAGCAAACTAACAGTGCCTATTCTTAAGCTGCTTTGAGGATTAAATGAAAAAATGCACATAAAGCGTATAGCACAATGCCTGGCTTAAAGATGGCCTTTGGTTAGCAGGTATTTGTATCGGAGATTCTAAAATATATAAAGATGGTAAATTGTTTTCAGTGGTAATAATTAGTATTTTATCTGCCAAGCCTACTGTGTCATGGTTACAATTGTTGCCGTAACCAGTTACCACAAATGTAGTCATTTAAAACCACAGAAATTTATAATCTTACAATTCAGTGGGTCAGAAGTCTGACAGGGGTCTCTCTAAGAGAAGACCATGGTGTTGGTGGGGCTGACATCTTTCTGGAAGCTTTAGGGAGAATTCATTTCCTTGCCTTTTCAGCATCGAGATCCACCTTCACTCTTGGCTCCTAGCTCCCTGTCCTCAACCTTGGAGCCAACAACACCAAGCTAAGTCCTTCTCAAGCTGCCAGCTCTTTGGTTCTTTCTTCTGATTTCTTCCTTCACTTCTGAGGACCGTGTGATTGCGTTGTCTCCCTCCCTCCCTGATAATCCAGGACATTCTTCCTATTTTAAATGCATCTGGTTAGTAGCTTAATTCCACCTGCAGCCGTAATTACCCTTTGCCAGTTAACCTACCATATTCACAGCTTCCAAGGGCTAGGACGCAGACCTCTCATGTGAAGGGGAGGGAGCATTCTACTGGCCTTACCATTTTTTTCTTCTCCTTCTCTTTTATTTGAAGTAAAGATCACAAAAAGCATACACTCAGACCTGGAGAGGATCATCATCTAACCCAATACTCATATTTTATTAGGTATATATCTGACCTCAGCTAAGAGTGGGGCGTTGAGAGCAAGGACCACAGAGGGATGATGTTTGGACAGTTCTGAGGGAGGACTCTGGTTTCCTTCCAGCATGACAGGAGTCAGCAGAAGTCTAGGCAGTGGGTAAAGAGAGAACATTAGGCAATGAGGCCCCTGGGAGGGCTCACAGATGAGCTTTGCCATGCTACCAAGGACATGTGGTGTGAGTGACACAGAGTAGGTGCTTCTCTGGCTGAATGGCTGGCTGGTTAGAGGAACGGGAGGGGCTGATAACACTTGAAGTTATGTGAGTCCTGCGTTGCCTCTTCTTCCCAGCTGAGCACCTAAAATCTCCACCCTTTCTCTCTAGTGTTCTGAAAGCAGCACTATAGATGAAGGAGGAAGCCCAGCCGTACTAAGTTTGTGAACTCAACATGCAATCTGAATGGGTTACCATTTTCAGAAATGAATGGGAGCGATTTCAGGACCTCAGAGGATTGGCTTCCCCTTAGTATGTGTTTGTGCTAAACCCTCGGATGAAGCAGGTGCATTCTTTAGTTGTGTGCCACCTAGTATTATTGACAGGGTCAAAAAGCACCTGAAATCCCTTTTAGATTGTCATCAGCAATTTGATAACCAGCTGAAAGCTAGTGGGCTTACCAAGAAAAGAAACCAGCGATTAGGATGATGAATGGAAGTCAGGCCCTTATACCAGCACCTGGAATGGGAAGGGAACCACTAGTTTCAGGGTCTCATGAGATGATACTTTGTCTTAGTCAGTTCAGGCTGCTGTAACAAAGTACCATAGACTGAGTGGCTTATGAACAGTGGCAATTCATTTCTCAGTTCTGGAGGCTGGAAGTCGAGGTCGGGTCGCCATCAAGGTCGGCTTTCAGTGAGAGCCCCCTTTCAGGTTTTGGATTGCTATCTTCTCATTTCACGAGGACACTAATCCCATTCAAGAAGGCTCCACCTTCATGGCCTACGTACTTCTCAAACTCACACTTCCAAATACCATTGCTTGAGGGTTAGGATTTCAACATATGGATTTGGGGAGCAGGTGGGGAGGACACATTCAGTCCACTGAAGCTTTCTTGCTTCTACAGCCCTAGATTGGATAAAGTGGTAAACATATGCATGGTATTGGGAATATAGCTGGGATTAGGTTAGATTCCTTCTATCAGGAGAGAGCAGTAATACGAAAGATCCAGTGTATCAAATGACCCCAGGGAGAATGTGGGATGAGGAGCACATAGCATTTGTGGGCTTTCATTTATTTTTTCAAGATACTGCCATGGGACTAGGAGAATATACATCTAAGTAAATCCTTATTCCCTTACCTTATTTCCTGACCATACTCTTAACCGTGGCCACTATTTGATTACTTTGACCACCTCCTGGGTTTTCTCTCTTCTCATCCTGTTCCACCAGGAGATTGATGGCAATGCCCTCTTGTTGCTGAAGAGTGACATGGTCATGAAATACTTGGGCCTGAAGCTGGGGCCTGCGCTGAAACTCTGCTACCATATTGATAAACTGAAGAAAGACAAGTTCTGAAGGTGTTTAAAAGATACAAGCAAAGTCCAGACAGCAGAATCTCCAGACCATCTGCCTTACCAACATCACCACCATCACAAGGACTCCCTTCTGAAAAAGAACTGTCACAAAGACTTGGTCTTTTTTTTTTTTTTTTAATAAAACTTGTAGGTCTTGACCTTTTAAAAAATTGAACATGGCCCTTTTGAAAGGTTCCTCTGTTTTAATGATTTGCAAAAAAATTACCAAAAAAAAAATGCCCATTATTTTTAACATTCCTAGTTGGTTGGTTCCTCTTAGGGTAGGTCCTGTTTTTATAATGAGAGTTTGGGGAACCGAAGGCTATCACCCAAGGAGGACCTTGGAGACTTCCAAGCATGTGGGAAGAAACTTTGTCTCTGTAGGCTCTGTGGGGATGCCCACCACAGCAGCCCCCCGTCTTTAACTCTGATCCGGAGACCTATCATTGTGAACCTTGCTTGATTCAGCTCTGGAAGCTGTCTTCTGAGGATAAATGCCTCACCTTGCACTATCCGGAAAACTTGAATTCTTTTGCTCTCTGTAAGAGAAGAAGAAAAAGAATCTTTTCTATCCCTAGTTATCTGAAGTACTGTGTTGCCCCACTAGGGGGCAGACTGCCAATGTAATTTCAGGACCCTCACTGCAGCAGCCTGATATTCAGTACCCAGTGGATGAATTAGGGTTTCTGGGAACAAGATCTAGCCTACACAGACACAGAGAATTTATTCCACAGTCAGCACCCACCACAGATTGCAATGTGGGAAGAAACCGTCTTCTAGAAGGTTCTGGTTAGTCATTATCGACTGCCTGAGATGCACAAGCAGCAAAGGCAAAAATTTGGAAGCACGTTCTTCCCAGATGGGGCTTTGGAGTCCCTTCCCTTCCAGAGTCCTTACTGAGGTGTTGATGTATTGGCGCGCCAGAGACTCTTAGTGACATTTAGCCACAGCGTTTCTTTCAAAAAGAAAAAAGATGCCTCAACTAAGCTTTGAAATTGGAAGGTGTTGATTTCTAGTTACACTGTGGGATTATATAGCTGTATCTGTGGCTAATTTTAATAATAGCATGTACACAGACATGCTATTATTGGGTTTAATTCAATTTACAAATTGGTTTTCCTTTCTCACTCTGGAATAATAGAAAAAAATTGATTTCTACCCCTTTGCAGCTGTGTCCAGGGAAGGGCAATGAATCCACAATTTACTAGGCAGAGGGCAGCCGCATCTCCATTCTTATCTTTTCCTTTCTCTCTTTTCCTGTCTCCTTTTTCCTTCCTTTCTCAGTGAATAGGAAACATATCTTCAAAATGAATTTGCCTTTGCCATGGGCATATCCTCTTCTGTAAAAAAAAAAGAAAAGAAAAGAAAAGAAAAAAAATCCGTATTGTTGGACGTGAGCAGATGAATCCTAGACTTTGTGTTCCCTGGGAGGGGGAGGATCAACGATAACTCCAGACCTCCCTTGGCCCAATGCAGATCAGAAAGAGCACACCATCCTCAGGATGCAGCCTGGACAGGTGTCTCACTGGTGAGCAGAGCAGGAGGTGAGAGCAGCCTCTCACCCCTCTATTAGGGCTTCCCTGGTGGCTCAGTGGTAAAGAACCCACCTGCCAATGCAGGAGATGCAGGTTCGATCCCTGGGTCGGAAGATCCTCTAGAGAAGGAAATGGCAACCCACTGCAGTATTCTTGTCTGAAAAATCACATGGATAAAATCCCTAAGAAACCTCCCATGCCATGCTCTTAGACCCATTTTAATGAGTGATATTTGAGAAAGCACATCAGAGCAGAATCCTTTTTAGACAAACAGTGGCTGACTTAAAGTACGACAGAGAAGGGACAAAGGAGAATGTGAAGGACAGAGGAGAATGTCCTAAAACTGCCCACAAAACCGAGCTTGAGTTATCAGGCTATGGAAGAGCTGAATGTCTGTCAGTTCTGGCCGCTGACTAAACTATCCTGAATCAGGCCTTGGGACAGTGTCTTCAAGATTTTGAAGCAATAAATTGCCTCTGTTCCTCTAAGTTTGCTCATTGTGAAGTGATCACAGCTGGTCTGGAATTAAATAGTCTCCCTCAGAAAACCATGGGGAGTGTATATATTCAGAACAGCCAGTATGAAAGCAGTGAGATCCAGAAAAATTCCACAACAACCCATGTTCCTCACTCCAAGCCCTCCGAGACTTGTGGTGCCTCTTCCATCAACGTATACCCCGTACGCTATTGTTGTTTAGTTGCTAAATCATGTCCAGCTCTTTTATGACTCCATGGACTGTAGCCTGCCAGGCTCCTCTGTCCATGGGAATTCCCAGGCAAGAATACTGGAATAGGTTATCGTTTCCTTCGCCAGGGGATCTTCCCAACCTAGGGATCGAACCCGCATCTCCTGCATTGGCAGGCGGGTTCTTTACTACTGAGCCACCTGGGAAGCCCTGTACCTCATACAGAGACTTTCAAAACTTTCTACCATTCTTGCTAGTGCTTCCCGTGGCACAAAAATACCAACATTGATGCCGCCAAGTGAAAATCATCCTCAGACAATATCGAGGAGATACTTGGAGGAGTTTTCAGGGGAGAGAGATTTTCCCATCTTGAGGAGAAAACTGGGTCCATGTTCATGTGGATCTGCTCTCACAGAGGTGCTGTCTTATTTTGCTTTAAACTTTAAGCAGGACAGATTGCCGCAGCCATGATATTTAAGGTTTGACTTTTTAAAAATCTCATTACTCTTAAAATGAATGCTGCCACATCAGAGAATAATCCAGGGAGGAAATTCTTCCTTGCCTGTTTTTACACTGAAATGCAATTAGCCGGCCAAATTATTGTCGCCAATCCTGCAATTATAATTAATTTTCACCCTTTTCAAAAATCTTGTCAGACCAGGCAGATAAATAGCTTAGCAAATGTAAAACATGCCGGGCCATCTCCTCTACATGGACCTTACGGAGTCAGGCCATGTGTATCACTCTAATCTGAATGGGAGCTTATTTGGGGGGAGGCCTTGCAGTTGTACAGATGTGGTACTTGTTATTCCATGGCAGTAGCTTCGCTTCAGGTTGTGGTGAATAATGATAGAGTTTTGCATAATTTCAAATTAGAGTGTGTGTGCGCGCGGGCGTGTGCGTTCATGTTCGAAACATTTCTAATTATACTTGTCTGTTAAACACTTTAAAAAAAAATCTTAGGCAATTTTATTGCCTAAGGCATTTAAACTATTTTATAAAGCACATTATTCCTTTTGTGAAGATTTTAGGTGAAAGATGTGCATTTCGTGTGTGTGTGTGTGTGTGTGTGTGTACGCGCGTGCGCGCGCGCAGGCACATGCGTACTCCCGGCAGCGCAGTGGGAAGAACCTTTGAAAGTGGCTGGGAATGTATCAGCTCTTGCATTTGCTTTGTTTCTAATGCCTTCCCAGTTTTGTAGCACTGAGGTAGGACCCACCCCAGGCAGCAGGGTGCACCCCGGAGGCAGCTGGGGGCCGGTGCCGGGGTTCTAGACCTGCCCGCTGTCAGGCGCTGACTGGGCCCGCCCAGCCAGCGCAGGCTCTGCTCCCCGTGACTTGAGAGGACAGGCCTCGCCAGGGGGCCCACTAGGCGGGAAATGGGCATCCTGAGCACCTGGTACGGTGCCCGCCACGGCTCCACGCGCTCCCGTCATTTCCCGTCAGCAGGGCTGTCTGCTGTTTTCCTTTACAGCAGGAGAAAGGAATGGGACGCTCCTCAAGAGAAACAAAGAGGATAGTAAAATACACTGGGAAGGAAGACCGAGCTGAGGTTGGTGTATGTGAGGAGGAAACAGCAGGAGAGGAAGCCAAAAGTGGCTGTCTTAGAAAGCAGAGAACACCTCTTCTAACAGGCCCAACTCTTTCAGCTACAATTACCTATTTTTGTATTTATGTGCTGTATGGAATATGGAATACTTCTCTTTTTTAATTAAAATTATTTTTTTATTACTTTCTGAGATGGTTTTAAGAAGGATTTTATTATAGCTCTGAAGATGACTGGAAATGCCCAGAAGTGACCAGGGACTCAAATTTAGTCATTGTCAGAAGGTCTCGAGAGATGGAGACACTTTATTTTCTTTCTAAAGAACAAGACAGGTTTCCATCCATGTGAGAAAGTGAGTTGTGATGTTTGCTCTGACCGGTGCTTTTTCAGCTCTTCTCTGATGGGCTTAGAGGAGGAGGAGAGGCTCATTTTCCCCCCGTTACACCTCAGATAACAAGACAGAAGAAGGGGAAGGAGGAGGTGATTTTTGGTTAAGGAGAGGGATGAACGCCTGTCTGTGGGCGAGGTTTATTTGTAGTTACTAACACACTCCAAGAATTAACACAGTCCTGCTGTAGTCTTGCCGCATGCCACAGCCCCAGTGGCAGGAGAAGACTGCGCTGAGAAAACGGGTGCTGAGCCCCGCAGATGGTCAGCCATCTAGCGGTACAGAGAGTCCCGCTCCCATCTCGTGTCGTCACCCCAGAGGCGGCTCTCACGTGACTCCCAGCCACACTGCCCCGGGAAGAGGGCTGGGAGCCCCCGCTTCCACGGTGCCCTTCCCTCCAGCCTTTATCCTAATCGAAGACGATTCCTTCACGTACAATTGGAAGCTGGAATTTTTTGGGAATCTAGCGTTTACTTGAAAGAGAATCGTTCTTATTTATTGCCACCAGTTAAATATTATGGAAACATGTCTGCTAACAATTTGCTTTGTGTAATTTGTTCTAATGCTAATAAGCAGCAGCTGGGACACTTCCCGTGGTGAATTCCTTTGTGGTTACAGTGGTTTTATCACACACGGACTTCACCAAATCGCTGAACTTGAGAAGAACACTCACTCGGCTCTCCCAGGCTGCAGGAAATTCCCCTCACTTAGAAGCAGTTCTGGGCAAGGCATTTTTTTTTTAGAGGAGGATGTGCTTTTCCTTCACTCCCTGCTCCTGAAGAGGGCTGCATAACGGTGCTCTTCAAGTCCCACCTAGAGAGCCTGGGATTCTCCTCCCTCTCAGCCATGAGCTTCATCTCCTCCAGAGGAAACACAGGAAGCAGAGCTAAAGACGGACATCTTCCTCCAGGTCAGTGCACGGTGCCCAGAGTGAATACAGAGTAAAGAGTGAAAAAGGCAGTGGAAGGTGGTCTTCTGTCCACCTCGTGCAGGCGGTGCCTTCCCCACCGGGCTTCCATAAGCAGACGGGCCCAAGAGGGGTGGAGATGCATCCAAGAGCCAAGAGCTGCTCAGAAGAGGATGAAGTGATGACAGCAGACAGTGTGGGCATCTTCCCTCCGAAGGGTCTAGACGTACCACTCAGACTTTCTCCGGGCTGCCAGCCCACCGTTCTCCGCTCTGTAGTTCCACCGCAGGACCTGAGCCTTTGTGCTGTTTCCTCATATCAGATTTTTGTTGTAAAGGCCAACACAAACGCCTCCTATTGGATTCTATTTTGGAACATAACCAAAGCCTTGCTTCTCCACTATGAAGTGAGCCTTGCTCACAATGAAACAGCAGACCCTCGCTGGGTGTCGTTTTACAATAAGCATATGTGACCGGAGGCTACCTCCACCATAAATGTAGCATCCTCAAACCTCAGGTGGGCCCCACCTCCCCCTCCAGTGCTGGAATGCCTTCCCTACACCCCTGAGAAACGGCTCTGCCTGACCACTTCCCATTAGGGGGAGTTGAGTCCCATAGGAAGTGGCTTATTTCTCTGTTGGACGGCTCTGGTTGTGAAAACGTTATTTCTCAGGGAGACACAGATGTCTGTGAATCAGACACAGACTTTTGAGACGAAGCCAACTCTGCAATCTTTCTCTTTTCAACAGAGCTTGTCCGTGCAGTAACCACACCTATAATACAAATTAACATTGGCAAGTAGGCCCCAGCCCCACTACATTAGCGTGGAAGAGTAGACACCATGTATAAATGGGGGACTCAGATAGGTCATGGCCATCAGATTCATCAGGCCTGTCAGGAAAAACTATCGAAATTCTTGTGGCCTCACACACACAGAAAAGGGTGTCCTGGGAGAATCTTTAGTGTAGTTGTAAATCTGGCTGTGGTCATATAGGCATGTGAGTTATAAAAGATTGCATGAAAAAAATCTGTAAGTCCATGTTCCTCAATAACTGGAAAAGACGTGGAGGTCCTATCTCTTAATTGTACTCGCTGGTGATGTAATAAACTAAGGAAGCTTTAGTTTAGACAAAAACAAGTTATAATTGATGACAGAAAAGTAAACATGGTCTGTTGTGAATTTAAGCAAGAGTGATGGAGTTTATGACGCCAAGCCCAAGTGGATTTCATGCTGTGTGTGCATGCCCTGACGACTGTGTATTTGTGCGTTAGTGTGATAAGAGGTGGGGATTGGGGAAGGTATGAGGAGAGATTGCAAAAGGAAGCTTTTGCTTTCTAGAGAATTCTTATTCAGGAGAACTATCTAGCAATGATTTAGAAATCAGATCCCAAAGTAACATGTAGTTTATGTAGTTTGCTTAGATAAAATTCTGAATAATGGAACAGATTCTCTGAAAATATTTAAAACTTGGTATTTGGAAAAAGTAGCTACCATCCAGCACCTTGCCTCGTGGCACCTGCCGTATAAAAGTTACCTCGTTAACATTCATCAGCTGAAAGAAGGAGTGCTTGACTAGTTTCCGTATTTTATTCAAAAAGTCACTGATTTCCTTTTTGGACACCATGTCTTTACTGAAAGGAGAAGCGCCGAAGGGAGGAGGCCAAAAGAAGAGCCGAGGCCTTTCATTTCCTCTAGTCCCCCAAACGCTCAGGGAGGTCAGCGCCCCAGCCGTGGACTCCTCACCCCTCTTTTCGTCTTAGGGTCTCGCACTCTCACTGGCCCATCAGAGAATAACAACAGATTGTTTCCAGCTTTACTATTTTGACATCTTTTCCTTCTCAGTCCGCGATGGCTCTCAGCTCTGAGTAGGGTTTGGGTGGGCCGGTTACTCACCCAGGGACAGTCAGGGTCCTGGGAGTCCGAGGGCATGTCCCCCGAGCCCTGCGCTCCCGGTGCCTTGCTCACCGTGGAGAGGGCGGGTCAGCGGAGCCGGCAAGCCCCCCACAAGCCACTCTGTCGTCTCTTGATGGTGGCCCGGTTGGGAAGGCGCACCCTACAGGAGGTGGGAAGGAGACCACCTTCTTGTGCCCTTTTCACCCTTCACCCGTCTTCACCCCTTGAGAGCCGATTTGGAGAGATCAGGGGCTTCTTTTTTCTCTCCCACATAGTTACAGAGGAGCACTGATTATAGAACCACGTGACTGACTTATTTTTCCCACAACCACACCAAATTTTGGAGTGTCTCATCAAAGAAATCAGCTCAAAAGCCTGAGCATCTGTCCCAAGGATGTTGTCATTGCTTAGAATATTTCTAGTGCATCTCTTTTGGGATCATCTTTAGAAGCTAGAACACATTCTTTTCAAAGTGGAAAGCCCATTGTCTTCACTGGAGGGTGGATTCTTTTTTCTTTTTGGAGTCAAAGGCATTGGGGTCATGTCTGCACAGCAGCGCAGCCGATCCACTTGAGATGTCAAAAAGTGTGTCTCTATACTCATCAGTTTGTCTTTTCCTCATGTTTCCTTACTGGATGCAGATGGTCTGAACAATAACAGACACAACTCATTGTTAACTTGAATATATCCGTATAAGGAGCTGTACTGCAGAGACTGCTTTGGCGGGCAACATCACCTGGATGAACATTCAACATGTTCATCGTAAAGCTCGTTTGTCGTTCGCCCCTGTATCTCTAGGCATCGTAAGCTCAGGATATTGGAGTGTCTTACAACCCCAAATAGCAGGGGAACTTGGAGCAAGAAGCCTTGGGGGACACCTGGACAGCTCACCTCCAGGGGAGAGCCTTCTCCCAGTGGTTCTCACCACTCTGGAGGCAGATTACGGTGCAGTGCAAAGAAACCAGCCCTCCGAGCTGCCGCATACCCCATCTCCTCATCTGGAAAAGAAGTGGGATCCAGATGTCCTTCAAAGGCATTTACAGCTATTACTTCAACAAAGGTCAGTGGGGCTGTTGGCTCCTCCATGTTCTATGATTTCCAGCTTCTGCCTCTCCTCCTGTCTGACCTCGTCTAGATGTTTTCTCATTCTCTTCTCTCATTGGCCCCTTTGTGGTTGTTCAGTCACTCAGTCATGTCTGATTCTTTGTGACCCCATGGACTGCAGCACGCCAGGCTTCCCTGTCCATCACCAACTCCCAGAGCTTGCTCAAACTCATGTCCATCAAGGCATTGATGCCATCCAACCATCTCATCCTCTGTCGTCCCCTTCTCCTCCTGCCTTCAATCTTTCCCAGCATCAGGGTCTTTTCCAGTGAGTCAGTTCTTCCTATCAGATGGCCAACATATTGGAGTTTCAGCCTCAACATCAGTCCTATGGCTCCTCCTCAAAGGCACTGAAGTATCACTGTGCTATCCTTTCTCATTATTTTTACTTTTCATTTCTTTCTTTCTTCCTGCCTCTGTGTTTCCATTCCATCAGCTCCAGTGCCTTGGGGGAAAAAGAGGAGATGGAGAGGGAAATAAAGAATTAACAAGTAGCCTCTTCCCCACCTAACTGGGCCATCCTGACCCTTGCCTGCCTCCCACCACCCCATCATTAGCCACCTACAACATTCCTCAGCTCTGTGGTGCTTCTGGCCCAATCTCCACCTGTTCATTCCACTCCTCAAGGTCCTGCCCTCTCAATCTGTCCTTGAGTTTGGGAACAAGAGTCCTGTCCCTTTTAATGGCTTCATTCTGTGATTCACCCTGACATCTCCCTCATAGGCCTCCTCAGCCTTCTTCCAGCATCGGCCCTAGTGCCCACCCCATCAGGTGTCCCTCCTCATTCAGCCCCGAAGGTCAAGAGCCAAGTGACCTGGAGCCGATGGGACACACACACCTCTTGAGAAGCATGAGTTGTTTCTCCCAGCCATGCTGGCTCCTGTAGCCTGCATGGAGTCACTCTGCCCTCCAGGAGCAATTCAGGCCATCCTACCATTCCTCATAGAACATGTAGCTTTGTCCAGACCCACTGAGCACTGATGCAGCTCCCAGCAACCAAAGCCAGGCCAGGGTCTCCGTTCAAATAAGGAGGGCGGCCCGGATCAAAGGTGAGGCACAATGACCTACATCAGAAGCACTTCTAAGGTAAGCGTTGTTTTTAGGCATTTACAAGTCTGCTGAGATGTTTGCAGTGTTAAGGGGCTTGTGTCTCGGTAGGGGAAGATGACAACATATTTCCCAAAGGAAAATGTGGATTCAAGGAGGGAGAAAGGCAGCAAAATTCTGGAACAAGGATGCTCTGTCCCTGGCCTTTATCTAGCACTGTCACACCCACTCAGGGTCTTTCTAGAAATCAAGCTTGTTTCCCTCCACAGGAACCAAAAGTGTCTGTGCTCAAATGTGAAAGAGTTTGGAGAACTTTGATTTCTTTCATTCTCCACTGTTTACTAAGTCACAGTACTTAATTTGCTGTCATCTTCCAGCTATATCTTGGATCACATGAGGATTTTAAAGAAATGAGCTTGTCTTATCTCATCCTCCAGATCTTTTGAAATAGCAGTTGTCTTATATAGTGTATATTTTCATTTTATAGTTACCGGTTGATTAGATTATTTCTCTCCTGTATATACATAAAATAATTTTATTAATACAAAGATTTTATACTAAAAGTACATCTGTAGATAAATTGACTTTTTATTCTATACACATGAAAACTAAATAAACAGGTGAATTAAAATCATTTCATCATAATTGTATTCTGTTGCAAATTTTTCTCCACATTGACAGTGAAAACTTTTTATTAAGGTCTGTTGTAACATCACAAAACATTGTGAGGCTAAAAGTTTTGTGTTTTACTACTATGCTAGGTTGTGATTATCTGACAAGGCTCTAGGTAAATAATGAGGAATTCTGAGTAAGTGGAAATCTATGTGTACTAAGCTCTCGAGATTGAATGATGATGATTGAAATGTTGTGCCTTTTGTTTGGTAAGTTGAGGGGTTTATTTTCAGATTCTTTCTTTCAACTCAGCCTTAGTTATTTTCACATTTCCATCTCCTTATTCTGTGTCTGGACCTCAATATGCCAACACAGGGAACCCTCTGCTCTCTCCACCTGGGAGACTGACTGCAGCTGCTCACTTTCTCTGGTGAAGTTCTGTTTTTAATGAAGGTGCAAATAGGCCATCCCTTCGTCTCAGTAAGACGGAAACAGGATTGACTCCATCCCTTTTCTCTACCTAGATGGTCTCTCCTCCCTTCTAATTAGATTGTGAAAGGGTACATTTACATGGATATTCACGTGAGTGCTTGTGATTGAGTTTGAAAATTTGAGGCAAAGTTCATCCAGCATTTGCTGGATGATGGAAGTTTTTGCAGCATTTGTTTGTGCCAAGGCATGTGTGCAAGAAGGACCTGGTGTGTGTGATGCAGATACTCTCTAATTACTTGAAAATCCACTGTGCTTTTACTTCTTATGGTCAGAAGTTAATTCTGGAACATTACTTCAACTGCCTGCTTTATTTAGAAGTGTGCA